CCCTAAGCCCTAAGCTACCCCAAGCACTGAGCAGGAGAAGCCGTGGGAGCCGCTTTCACCAGCGACGGGAAGATCATTGTGGCCGGAACTTTCGCCTCCCTTGGCAAACTGCTGCTGCTCGACGAGCCGCTGGGCCTCCTTCGGCTGTCCGTTTCGTTTTTTTTTTTCGGGGTTTAGGGTTCCGAGGGCTTGCAGGGTACCTTTGCGTTCGAAAGGGCTTTCTCGCCTGTAAATAGGTTCGTGATACTGTTGGGTTCCGGAAGGTCCTAGTTAGGGTTTGGGGTTTAAGTGTTTTTTTTCGCATTTCATGTTTCGACCCGGGCCAGGGCCTCGGGACGATGAGGCAAGGACCAAGGATCCTCGTGGGATTTGCAAAAGGCTTCAACTCAGATACTGTAGGGGCCTTAATAATNNAATAGGGTTTTGGGGCCCAATATGCTATAATTATAATGAGGAACCCCCGCAATAATATAGGCAATTATTTAGGCTTCTATATTACCAGCGGGAGTTTTCGGAGCCTACGAAGCCGTAGAGGCAACGTCCTAAAGCCTAGCACGCGACCTAGACCCTCCGTCGACTCTCTATTAGTCTAGACCCCAAATAGCCGGGACCCATTATTTGGGGGCATGTGCCCCTTTATTTGAGGGTACAAGGAGGGTCCTGGTACCAAACCCTAAATCCTCAACAGAGGTCTCTTGAAGCCATTTCATTGGCCTGCGCCTGGGAGTTTTCAGGTCTCATGAGCTGAAACTACACGCAGAAGGCCTTGGGAACCCTCCACAAACGCCAAAAGGAGAGAACACCCTTCGCAAACTTCCAAAGGAGCATGAAACCTGAACTGACAAGAAGCCCATGTAAGAAGGAGAGCAAAGAGTTGGGTTTCATGTTGGTTTGAGGGTAGAGATGCAAACTGCAGAGACCATCCAAGACGCATTTCGTAAACCCAACTCGCATGTGCCACTCGCGCCAAGTTTTCTGGCAATGCGACCAAACCCCTAATGCCCAAGCCATTGAAGTCCCAGACTCAAAACCCTAAATATTAAAACCCTCAAACCCTGCCCCTGTACCAGCGCAAAATCAGAGGTCCGGCGTGCAGACTGAGTACTCTCTAGGCGCCAGGGCGGGCGGAAGGGAACACGGAATATTGTGCGAGCTGCATATTGTTTTTACGGCTTCGCCCTGAGAGTTTGGAGTTTAGGCTTTGATATATATATATATATATATTCATATATTCAGATGTAACATTATCTCTTTCTCTATCTCTATATCTATCGACCAATCGATCGATCGGTCTGTCCATTAATCTATCCATCACTACTCTAGCTCTAGCTCTAGCTCTATCTCAATCTCCATCCCCATCTCAGTCTCAATCTCTCTGTCTATCTCTATCTCTATCTCTATCTCTATCTCTATCTCTCTCCCTCTATATAATATAATATAATATATATATATATATATATCCCTCTCTCTCTCAATCTCTATCTCTATCTCTATCTATCTCTCTCTCTCTCTCTCTCTCTTTCTATCTATCTCTATCTATCTCTATCTATCTCTATCTATATCTTTCTAGCTGTCTATCTAACTGTTTATTCATCTATCTATCTATCTATCTATCTGTCCGCCTGTCTGTCTGTCTATCTTTCTATCTATCGATCTATCTATCTACCTGTTTATCTACCTATCTATCTATCCATCTATCTGTCTATCTATCTATCTCTTGATCTCTCGATCACTCGGTCTCTCTATCTCTCTATCTGACTATCTATTTATCTATCTGTCCATCTACATGTCTATCTATGCATCTACCTATGTATCTACCTATTTACGTATCTATCTATCTGTTTGTCTATCTATCCAGTTGTCTATCTGTCTATTTGTTTGTCTGTCGATCTGTCTATCTAACTATCTATCTATCTCTCGATCTCTCGATCGCTCCGTCTCTCTATCTCTCTATCTGACTATCTACCTAGCTACCTATGTGTCTACCTATCTACCTATCTATTTATCTATCTGTCTGTCTATCTTTCTGTCTATCTATCTATCTATCTACCCACTTGCCTATCTATTTTTTCTTTCTATCTACCTATCTATCTTTCTATCTACCTATCTACCTATCGATGTATCTGTCTATGTGTGTATTTATCTATCTTTCGATCTATCTGTGTATCTGTATCTCTCTATATGTACATATTAACATAAATAAACAAACAAATATATATATATATATTATTTGTTTATTTATATTTATATTTATATCAAAGCCTGAATCGCAAAATCCCCCGGGCCCTATCCCCTGCACCTCCATGTCTCAACCCAGGACCTGCAGGCCCTGAACCCCACGGAGTTTTGCGAGCCCGAACCACGCACATTTAGGGTTTAGGGTTTAGGGTGCCCAACTTATCGAAATAACATCTTGCTGAAAGGCTTGCTGCAATGGCCTGATACGGTTTGTAAGCCATGGCTGAAGGGATTCAGGCTTTCGCACCGGGGGTTTTTGAAGAGATGCAAATCAGCATGTGCGGGCAAAGCGTCAACAGCAGTCCCACGTTTTAGGGTTTATGGGGTATGCCTAAGCCCTGAGCATTGAACATTAGAACCCTATAAACCCCTAACTCTGAGCCCCCAGCCTCGATGAGGCCTCTGTTCAGTTGCAAAGGGCAGAACAGAACATGGCCCTAAAAAACAAACTGAATTGACCAACAACAACAACAAACAAACAAAAGAGTCGAACCAAAAACTTTATACCCCGAACCCCGTAAACCCTGAATTCTTAGCAGCGGACTCCCAATCCGCCCTGCCCGTCTCGTATCCCTGAGGGGAATCCTTGTTATCCCTACCCTAAACCCCTTACCCTATCTCTAAACTCTAAACCCTATCCCTATAAGCCCTAAGCCCTGAATCCTCCTTTCTGGCAAAGGCAACGTGACCGTCTACGACTTGGATGCCATGGTGAACGAAAGTTCGCTGGTGGTCAGCGGTTCGTTTGGAGCCGCCTGCCTTACGTACTTTTTAGGGGGGATTTAGGGTTTAGGATGTCGGTGTTTTAGGTCGAGGGGTTTAGGGGTTTGGGGGTGGGGTTCAGGGGTTTAAGGGTTTCTGGATGTAGCAAAGGAGTTTAGGGCTTAGGGTTTAGGGGTTTAGGGTTTAGGGAATGTAGACCCTTGATATATTGACCCCCTCTCCCTTACTAAGGACGACCCCTTCCGGCACGGATGTGTTTAGGAAGTAGATATTTCGGTTCAGGGTGGGGTTCGGGGCCCATCGCTGAGGGTCTAGGGGTCTTAAACCACTAACCCTAAACCCTGAACCCTAAACCCTCAACCCTCAACCCTGAACCCTAAAACCTAAACCCCCAACCCTGAACCCCAAACCCTAAAGGCTTTGCCAGCCTTCCCAGCGGGGTCCAGGGTTCAGGTCGGGCGGCAGGGTTGGGGTGTAAGCCCCACGCTTACCTATAAGCTCCATGATTTCTCCTTTTTGTGGTTTAGAGTAAGGATCCTACAAGCCTACAAGGTAATCCCAAAAAAGGAATTACAGTGGAGCCTACGGGTACACCTCCTAAACCCTAAACGGTTGCAAGTGTCCGAGTTACGAAAGCATAAGCGGTTGAAAGGCGGTTGAATGTTTAAATTTCCCTCCTAGCCTTTCTGAACCCCAACACCGAAGGCCCGAGCCTCTCAGGAAGCCCTACATGCTGACGCAAAAGAGCCCGGAAGCCAAGAATCCAAAATGATAAACAGCCGGAGAGTAAGAGAGTGAGAGGGCGAGAGCAAATGAAAGAAAGCCCAAAGTCGAGGCCACTCCCCAAAAAATTGAAGTGTTCGCTTTTACGATTCGGCTGGCTTCCAGGTGAAGCGCGTGGATGTGTCGGCTACCAACTTCAGTGAGGTGCGGACATGTGGGGCTCAGAGCGGGGCCGGCTCAGGTTTCGGGTAGGTCAGGGCCGGTGTTTGGCGAGAGTCCAGGGTTGCAGGGTTTACGGACTAGACTACCGATAGGCTCCATGATAGTTCCTGAATTGAATTTGTGGTTTATATTATGAAGATCCTACACCCTAAGCCCTAAACCCCAAACCCTGATCCCTAAACCCCAAACCCTAAACCCTAAACAGTCCCTTTTTGGAAGGAACTAGAATGGGAGCCTATGGGCAGTTTCGAGCTTAGAGCTGAGGACTTTGAGCACGAAGCCGAAACCCAAACTTGCCTGAAGCCTAAAAGAGAGCTTTTCTGGTTTAGGGCTTGGGGTTTAAGGTTTAGGGTTTAGGGTTTGGGGTTTAGGGTTTGGGGTTTGGGTTTTAGGGTTTCGGATTTAGGATTTAGGGTTTACGGTTCTGGGTTCATACAAAAACCTGAACCCTGGAACACCTCTTGGTAAACAGGAGTTGGTCACTTACATAGTATTCACCTTAAGACTCGTCGACTTCGTATCCCCCATTTCATTAATAAATTAAGAACATGTCCTGTTTGAGGAAAACCGCGCTACGCTAGCAATCTTTACGGCTATCCTTGCAGACACTACCCATGCAGTGATAATCAATTCGTTGCTCTTCCTTCTGCTATGATGTGTTGCCGGTATCAGGTGTGCCCTTGTCGTCACCTGAAGAATCAAATGACCCTTAAACGTAGGAGCCGTATACCCCTATACTATGAATCCCTGTAGAATATATGAACCTGAAACCCTTTTCGGCTCATTTCGTCTTTACAGGCATTGTTATCCGAAATCCATGTCATGTTCTTCCCTAAACCCTAAACCTTAAACCCTAGTCTCAGCCTTTGGCCCCGGCTGAGGTGTGGAGCTGGACTCCTGAGGACCTCTCCGGCGAAGTGCGTGTTCCGAAGCTGCAGCAATGTCTAGGCAGCATAGAGCGGGGCAGGGGCAGGGATTTCACTATAAGCCTTTAAACCCTAAACTTCCCTAAACCCCTAAACCCTAAATCCTTAAATCCCTCAGATCTTAGGCGTTAAGCACTGGAACCCCAGATTCTTAGGTCCCGGAGCCTCGATCCTGAGGTTCCGGATGCTGTGTTTATTGTTTTCGGCAGTCGTCCCGGAACCTTAAACCCTAAGACCGAGCTACAGCCAAGAATTCAGGGTTTAGGTTAGGGGCCGAGGGGCGCTGAAGCCAACAACCCTTCACCCAAAACTTTTGAACTCTTTCAACCGTAGTCACCCGTAGTCACTGCCCTAAGCCCTAAGCCCAGCCTCTTTGCGTGTAGCGTCTTTAGCATTTGGGGCTAGGGTTTATGGGTCACAGGTCTACGAGTCAGGATTCCGGGAGGTTGCGCAGAGATCAGATGACGCTTCCACCAGACTTGAGTTTGCCCCAAACCACTGCCGGACGTAGACCTCAATTCCTAGATTCCAATATAAAATACTATAACGTACTAATATAATATACTATGAGAATAAAATATAACGCAATAATATAAAACAACAGATCTCTTGCCATGTCAGCGTCCACACAAGTTTTGCCTGCACGATTCTCGATTGTGAGCGCAAAAAGCCTCCCAGAATTTCCAAGATACCTTCATGCCTTGACCCATCCAAACCCACCCCAGGAGATCCCATTATTACCCTGAGGGTCCAAGCACCTGATCATCATGTACTCTTCTCAATACCAAATTACAACACGACTATCCGTAACCCAAGTACGAAGTAATTAACTGATTATTCGGTCCTGTGGACCCTTTGGGATAATGCAAGGAACCATGCTACAGAAGCGACCTGCAACCCCAAGTGAGGTCAGCACGGCTGCCGGGAAGACGGCCGTGTTGTATCAAAAGACCGTGGCGGTACTGGACGACACAGGACTCGCCTTTTGAGGTGTAGTGTTTAGGGTTTCGGGTTTCGGGTTTAGGGTTTAGTATTTAGGGTTTAAAGTTTAGGGTTTAGGATTTAGTATTTAGGGTTTAGTATTTAGGGTTTAGAGTTTAGGGTTTAGGGTTTAGTATTTAGGGTTTAAAGTTTAGGGTTTAGGGTTTAGTATTTAGGGTTTAGGGTTTAGGGTAGATCCGGGTTAGGACTGTAAGGTGAGTCGAAGTAGACTGGGGAGAGAGATGCTCTGGGGCGTAGCTTGGGATGGATGTTTCGGACTTGAGCAAAACGTAGACTCTCGATTCAATGCCGTGGAAAGGTCTAAATCTTTTGCTCAGTCAGCTTTGGAGTTTAAGGTGCTGTTTCAAATTTTTGAGCTTTCGGGTCTCGATGCCCGATGTATATTATCGTTCAGGTGTTGCTTGGTGTTACAGTCTTGGATACAGCTCACAACCCAAGCGAAACTTAGTGGTAACGTCTATAGTCCCTACATGTGTATTTGTATGTATGTGCGTATAATTTTGTAGACCCAAAAACCTTATTCTAATTAATGTCACAGTATAACGCTTGTTAGAAAGACAGGGGGAGCCTGCGAAAAGCACGTAATGGTAGGTGAAGGTTTACGCATTCGAATGTCAGGCTCCCTGGTGTCCAACGACACCATACCGCGAGATTACCCCAAGGACGTGGCTATCTCTCCAGACGGGACGAAGGCAGCGTCGGCTTCCTGGTTAGGGTGTAGGGTTTCTTCCGAGAGACCTCGTTCAAAAAGGGACGCCAGGGAAGCAAAAAATGCGGAGCACGCAGAAGTTCTGGCAGCATGCTGTTTTGCAACCTAGGGCGAGCGACATCCGCCTCCTAATCCCAAAGCTGCAAAAATGGTAGCCCCAGTGTAAGCCACCACACGGTTTAGGGTTTAAGGTTACGGGTTTAAGCTTTGGGTTGAGGGTTTAGGTCCCAACAAGATTGAAACAGCATTCCCGGCTCTTGGTACAGGTTTATGCGGTTGGCTTCCGCAACGGTCGGAACGAGGATGATGGAAGTGGCCGGAGTAATCCGGCAACTTTGCCGGTTTAGGGTTTAGGGTTTGGGTTTTTTGAGTGGGTATGAGTGTTTCGGGTTTTAGGGCTAAGGATTTAGATTCTTGGGTTTAGGTTATGTTGGATGTGTTGTGGGATCTGTAGCTTAGGTTGTACGGCTTCAGGGCTGTTGGCGCATAGGGTTCAGGCTTTCGCATTGCGGGCGTGGGATAGATGTGCTTCCGGCCGCGGCTTCTTTATGTTCTATCGGCGGCCTAATTTCCGATAGTGCGCCATTGCCGTCGCGAGTATATATGAGACCAGAATATTTGTACGATTGTTTACATAGAATACAGTCCTATCCCCTAATCTGTACAGCCTAGACACCCCAAAAGCTCTTAGAAACCCCAAACCCAAGCCTTAAACCGTAAACCCTAAACGCCAAACCCAAACCTTAAACCCCAAACCCAAACCTTAAACCCTAAACCCTAAACCCCAAACCTTAAACCCCAAACCCTAAACCCCCAAACCCAAACCTTAAACCCTACCCCCCCCAAAGCCCGCTTCGACGACGCGGAAGAGCTTGGGGTTCAGGGCTTTTTGGGGGTTTACAGAGTTTCGGAGTTTCAGGGTTGAGAGTGTAGGACTTGAGCTTCATAGGGCCTCGGGTTTTCGAGGGCGTGTGCCGGGCCGAAATTTCCGAAAGCGCCTAGATAGGATTTGAGAGCATCCCTATCCGTCAGAAGTTTTCGGGCCCAGAGGCTTCGCACGAGATCCTTTCTGCTTCCCGAAAAGCCACCAAAACCACGCGGCACCTGGAAACTCCCCAAAAGACCCGAGTTACGAGCACTGGGTCCTTTCCGAATCCCTACTCCCTCAGCCCCAGCCGCAACCCTAGAGTATAGGGGGATTGAAATACTTGGTAGTAGCATCCCCTCTGTCTCTATAGTATATTAAATATGTATGGGTGTACGCGTATGTATATAGATAGATAGATAGATAGGTAGAAAGATAGATAGACTTACATGTTCCCCAGTCGCCATCCACGTCGTTCCTTGTTTTCGAGCCTAAACGCTAGAACCCCCAAACCGAAAAGTGAGTTAGGAAGTCGGAGACCCTAGTCTATAAACTATAGGGTTTAAGGTTTAGGTTTTAGGGTTTAGGGTTTGTTTAGGTTTTTGTGTTATAGATCCAGAAAGGTTTGGCTCTAACTGCGGTACCCCTGTGTTGCAGTGATGCAGAAGCCCGTAGGTTCCTTATGGACCAAGCGTCCTTGCAAGTTCAAGGGCCTTTACTATTTACATATATCATATATCATATGTATGTGTTTGTTTATATATATATATATGTGTGTGTGTGTGAATGTCTTGTGTATAAATGTCTCTCTCGCTCTCCGTCTCTCTCTCCCTCTGTCTCTTGCTCTGTCTCCTAAAAATACTTATGCAGCCTTTTCATTCGGGAAATGAAAACATGGCCCAGAAACGCTTTGCGATGTGCGCTTGGTCCTCAAGCTCTAAACCTTAAACCCCAAATCCCTAAACCCCTAAACCCCTAAACCCTAAACCCTAGGTTCAGCTGGCCTTTGTCTACGCCTTCAACGCGGCGAACTTGTCGGAGCCCTGGCTCTGGAAAACCTTTGACTTCGATCCGCCGCCCGGCCAAGACCTCGTTCAGCATCCTTCAGCGCGATGTGAGGTCCATCAGTGTTCAGGGTTCAGGCTTAGAGTTTAGGGTTTATAAGGTTCAGGGGTTCAGGTGTAGAGTTTAGGGTTTAGAGTTTAGGGTTTTAGGGTTCAGGTTTAGAGTTTAGGGTTTTGGGGTTCAGGTTTAGAGTTTAGGGTTCAGGGTTCAGAGCTTAGGGTTCACGAGGATGCAGAGATTAGAGTTTCCTCAACGTCTTGGTGGGATGTAGGATTTCGGTGTCCCGGATGCCTATCCTGCAGCGGTTCGAGTCTAAGGTCTGGGGTGTCTAGGCTTTGGGACCATAGTTGATAAGCTTAGGGCCTTGCACGGCGCAAACCTGAATCGTGAACACTTATAGTGCTGAAGTCAGACATGGCCATCAGTGGTTTTTGTGTGAGATCAGGCCCTTTCTGTCCTTAACACTATCAACTCCAACCGCTGATCCTTATAAGATTCTTTGTAGCTTGGGTCAACCCTGCGAATCTTCGAAGCTGCCCAGACGCCTTTGAAATCCATGTAAGTCCATGCAACAGAAAGTTGTCTTGGAACCGAGCACAGCTTGCACAACGCTGCCACCACAACAAAAAACGCTGAGAGCCCCGTTGAATTCTGAATGGAACCAAGGAGCCCTGAGCACTTAGCCTTAAAGCACAGGAGAAGCATTTCATGTCAAGGAACTTGGTCGATTGGGACATGGCTGACACCCGTCTCTACCGTGTTGCTTTCGGCCAGGACAGGGCAGGGGTTCGGAGTTCCGGGGAATGTCCTTAGACCTTAGAATCCTAAGAACCCTGAGACTCTGAACCCCGAAACGAAGAAAACAAGCGGACAGAGGCCTGGAAAACGGGGCAGTGCTTGTGCGTTTGAGGGTTTGGATGTTGAAGGGTAAGAAAAACCTATGGGAATTGTCGGTGATGCGTTTCAGGGTTTGGGGTTAGGGTGTGGGGTGTGTGGGATTTTTGGGTTCCGCTGTGGAGGACCCAGGGACTTGGCAGGTGCGTCATCGTTGGCGTTTGCAGCTAGCCTTGCTGCGGCTATGTTTCAATTTCCTTCAAAAGTAGGAGTGCTTCTACAGCGTTCATGGCGCTGACTGCGTCCGCAGATCCTCCAATTGGCTCTGACTTCAAATGCATCTCGGATATGGGAGTGAGACGGCTTATGGAGCGGTTGTAATGGAGGTCTCGTATCTGATCTCCCTGCTGGTTTGGTTCGCTTCGGGGTGCAGGATGGACAGCTCTACATTTTGGGAGAGACGGCCGGCGGCAACAGCATCTTCCGCTGGGATGGGAAGCACCTCGCCAAATAATGGTTAACGGTTTAGGGTTTAAGGTTTAGGGTTTAGGGGCTGCTTCGCAAGGAGTGATATCCGCACTGTTTTTTAAGACCCTGCATGCGGATGCCCAAACCCGAAGATGTCGAATTTAGATGCATCTGCTGAACTGCCCCCAACCCCGAACCACCTACGCACCTTGCTTTCTGCTGAAATCCCCGCTGCTTATTTGGCTTGAACAGCTCATCTCCTTTGGGATAAGGTGGATAAGGCCCCGTCAACCCAGACATGGTAATGGGACTTTCCGAAAAGTAGGGTACCTTATTTTGGGGTCCTGATGATAAGGATCCTATTTTTTAAGGGTACCTTATTTTGGGGTCCTTATGATAATAAGGATCCTACTATGTAAGGTACTGTATTAGGGTCCCCTATTTTCGGAAACCCCCCAAATGAAGGCTCGGAGAGCCGACCTCACTGACAAAGGCACTGCCAGAGCAAGGAGGATGATCCGGAAAAGGGCGCAATCAGCAACGTGACGCTGCTTGAGTCCCAGTACCGGCGACTGAAGTACACGGACAGGGTTTGGGAAACTGGGCATAATACATAAATGCATAAAAAGATATATATATATATCCTACACCCTGAACCCTGGCGTATGTCACAAACAATCTGGGAGCGTTTTCAGCTAGAAGGATGACAGCCTACTGGCCGCCCCTAGGCTTCACCCTAATGGGTGGCGAGCTCAGGCTTGCGGATAGGCTAGACGGCTGTTGCTTGGAGACATGAGGTTTCGGGTTTAGTAGGAGCACTTATGACCAGACCTATAGCCGTACTTTTTCCTACTTGTCTTGCTTACTCCTTGATGAAGTTTGTTGGGGGTCCACTGGTGAGTAAAATGACGAAGTTTTGCATGCAGCACACGGAGACAAAATACCGAAGCTAATTGCAATCGTCAGTTCTATATTTATACATATCGTCCCTACTGAGTTTACGCATGGGA